AAAGACTTGAATGTTCAGTTGAAATTTTGGAGCTTGCTTTTTCCACCTATATATGATATACGTGTGCGTGTGTATATGTATGTGTGCATGTATATATATATACACACATACATATATATATATTTTTCTGAAATTAATGAGATGGGTTGACAAAAGAAAGCGAATGATGCTGGTAACTTTTGTAAAATCTTTTAATTAGAATACCTTGTGTTGGAACAATCCCATCGATAACTCATATTTAATATAATGCCGAGGGTTTGAAATATGGTTTTAACCAGCAGTTTAGTTAACTGTCTCATTTTGGGAAGGGAGGGAGAAGGGGAGTTACTCATTCATGAACGAAATAATTTAGAAAATGTTCAAAATATTCGGTATTCCAGGAAAACAAAACAGACAAAGAAAACCAAGTAAGTACCTCTTAAAACCATTAAAAAGTAAAGATGTGATTTCCACGTGACATTTCTAAGGCAGTTGTCTTCCTGTCAGAGTTCTCTTGCCAAGGAATCTCTCTCTCGTCTTTCACTCATTCTGTCCCGGAGGAGGGAATTGGGCTTAGAAAGATTCTTAAATGTTTCACTGTTCAGCAGAAAATAACCATTTTTACCTTTTGTGCAAGATATTTTACGTTTTAAAGATAATTTTAAAATGAGCACTACATAATGTCAATGTGAATGTAGGCCTTGAAAGCATCTTGCTCGGTGTTGAGCCTGGTTCTAAAAGCAATCTCCTGTGTAAAATGTGTGAATAGTTTGATAATTTGTATACATAATCAAGAGCATCGGATCAGCTGAACTCTGTGTTGGCTGCTGTATAGTACATGAACAAATGTCATGGGATAGAAAAATTACTTTGGATATTTAAAAGAAAAATAAATATATAGTCTATTTGTTTTGTAACAAGTTTCTGTAAATAAAATAATTTATACTATTTATAAGAAAAAGTTGTGCTTTGCTTCATGAAAAAGATTAGTTTGTTGAACAAACATGTTACTAAACAAGGCAATAAAATTAGGACTTTTCAATAAATGAGGTTGGTTGCATGGAATACACTATATGTTTCTGCTTCATTATAAAATCATTCACCATTAAAGGAAAACATTATCTGTATCGGTGCCTATGTGAACTAATTTCAGAGAATTGGATGTGGTCAAATTCTGTCACTGTGCCTCGGCATCGCGTGAGCGGCTGCAGAGTCGGCCCGGTAGGATCGGATCTTGACGTACTGCAGGGTTTTGGTACCTGGTTTTGAGAGGTGCCTGTATCGACTCCGCAGTATTTTTCCTGTGCAAAGGACGTTTTGTTATTTAAGGTTCACGCTTTTTATTGTTTCCTAAGTGGAATAATGAGAAGCAGCTTTTACCACCCCAAATGCGGTGTGTTGAGTGATCATGTTTCCTTTTCTTTGTTTTTCCTTCCAAAAAAGCATCTTCCCTCTCTTCACAGTTCAAAGACCCAGTGTGTGACTTCAACAGGTCAAATACTCTCGCGGGCTTTTCTCTGCCTGTGACTCGGGACTGGCGCGTGGTGGATGACTTCGGAGGAGCGGTTTGTAAAACCGGTAAAACTCCTGTTAGTGGGATAGGAATTCATAGTTACGTCCATGGCAACGCTTCCGTTACTCATTCTCTCTCGCTCGCTCTTCCCCCCTCCTCCCCCCCACCCTTTTTCTCTTACAACAGCAAGAACAAAGTTTTCTTTAGTATTTGGTACAAATGCTACAAGATATAAATGGGGGGTGAGGCAGCGAGCAGGTTCTGCTTTGCCTTTTTATAATGAGTACTTCTAATATTTCTACATTTAACTTATGTTTTGTGTTGACCGAAGATTTTTATTTATTTTCTATCTCGCCTTCCTGCGACTACCTTTCTTTTCTAGTAGCAGTTTCTAATTTCTGCTCCGTGCTCTAAACTGTTGGCACTGAGGTTGGTTGTGCTGGGCTGTGCAGGAGGCGGGAGCTCGCGCGGCAGAGCAGAGCTCTCTGCTTGTCATCACGTTCAGGCAAGTTCGTGACTCTGAGCTGCCTGCGTCTGCTTCAGAATTGAAGGCTGAACTCTGCATTTAACTGCATTTAAAACAGGGTTCTGTAGCCTCTAAAACTGGCAAGATGAAGAAAGAGGGGAAAAAGTTGCATTTATCCCATATAACCCTGAGCTCTTTGAGGTACCTGGGAGCTCTGCAGCTCTGGAGTGTCCTCCCTCTCCCCTTCCTTTACCGCGTTGGGCACCGCTACCGGCACCCCGCGGCGCAGTGCCGGGGAGCCCTGACCTCGGGGCAGAGAGCAGAGCTGCCCAGTGGGTTATCGCTTCTCCCAGCGACTCGCTCGGTCCGGTCGAGGGGTTTGTCATGCAAAATGCCTTCTGACCAGGTGCTGGAGTAGAGCCCCATAAACACAGGCTGACTTCCCTGAAGTGGACAGAGAGCAGTTTCTCTCCTGTCACTGATTGTCTCGCAGGAAAATACTCCAGTTTGTGTCCAGGAAGAGCTACTGGCTGATGAAGGATTTTGAGCCTGACAGGGCGTGCAATGCAAATCCAAATGTCCGAGGTTCTCTGTGTGTATGCTTTTGTGTACGTGCGCATATTGCCGATACCCTTTGCATTTAAAATGGAAGCTGGTGATGTGTCCTTGGAACCCGAAGGTGTCAGCCTTCTCCTGGCAGAGACGCGTTGGGCTCAAAGGCTCCAACCTGCCTCCGGTAGGAAAACTCCTAAATCCCGGTCCTGCCCCTGCAGCGCGTGCAGCTCTGGAGGCAGGGGTGCGCAGCTGACCCTGTGCCCTCGCTGCGTGCAGCCGGGCCGACAGCGAACGGCCCCGACACCCGTTGCCTTTGTAGGCTGAAGCGCTCCGTGGCCGCCGTTACTTACGCCAGCTACTGAAACAACCAATACAAGGGCTTGCAATTGGCTTTATTTAAATGCAAATTCCTGTTGGTTCATTATTATCACGTTCTGCTGCAACAAATAATCAAACACACGTGGCTTGTAGGATCCACCACGGGACTCTTAATTTGACTGAATGCTTTTCTCAGTGCTTTGGCTCAGAACTGCATTAGCTGCTGGATTTGTTCCTAACAAGCAGCATGAGATCTTTGTCGCGGAGAAATGGCATATGCTTGTTTTGGTTTTGTTTTTCTGGCCCACCAAACTTCAGGGAAATCTCAAAAACCTTTTCTGAGGTTGCTGAAACTAACCTGGAGTCAAACTTCATTGCGAAGGACGAAAACTGGCCTGAGAGATGCGGTCAGTCAAAAAGCCTTGTCCAAGCCCATGGGGAATGGCTACAGCTGACATCTGTAGCCACATCGGTACGAAAGCTCTCTCCAGCGTCAGCAGGGACAGCGCGCTGCTGCTCCGTTTAGCTGCTCTCCAACACGGTGCTGGAAATTTTCCTTGTCCTCCACTTTTTTGCGGTTGAGCTGCCTTCACCCGTGTCCCTTCCAGTCCACAACAGGTGACTTTTTCCAAGAGCGAGCGCCTTGTCTCTTGCCTGCAAGGCTAGACCTTAAACTCTGGAGCCCAGCATTTAGCGAGAGAAGAAGAAATGGAGCTGTCGGCAGGCCAGCAGACAGGTGAGCCAAAAAACGTCTGCACACGAACTAGATCTCACCCATTTTGTAGCAGCTCTACCGACAAACCCTACAACGCTCCATCTCCCGTCCTTCCCTCCTGCGTTCCCGAAGCTTAATGGCAGTGCACGTGTAGCAGAGCAAGGTGGAAAGCGTCCCTGTGGTGTGGCTGTATCGTGACATCTGTGTCTGATTCTGGCTACCTTGTCGGGAGTATGAAGTCAGCCTTCCAAAGCGAAATTGGAGAATGGCATTAGTTCAAGGGACTGCACAAGCTTAAATTACGAGAGAGAATGTACAACTTTGGCATGTGGACTATAAATCCACGGAAAGGTGTCAAGACCGAGGCATGAACGGGCGTGGCCGGAGTGCCACTCACGATCAGAGTTAAATAAATGGAAATTATGAGACTAAATAAACCAAAGGCAAAACTAACATGATCCCGGGACAGTGAAAGGTAACTTGAGGTTACTTCAGGGTTTAAAGGAAGCAGAAATCCTATCGCTTCTGATTTGATGTGGAAATGGGGGTAGGCGGTTAAAAATGATAGAGCAGAAAAAACTATGCCCTTGGTCAGCTCAAGGCCTGACCGCCCTGGACCCCTCAGCATTCCTACTCTTGGGAAAAGACTGTGTACCAGAGCGCTGCTGCTTTTTTCAGGAGAGCAGTAAACTGCTGCTCTGGCTACGCTGTGTGCATCCGGCTGTGGACGTCAGGAGGCGCTGGCTTTCCCTAACACTT